CATAATTGCTGCTTTCAACAAATCTCATGGATCTCTCTCTCTCTCTCAATCTCAATCTCTCTCTCTCTCTCTCTCTCTCTCTCTCTCTGTGTGTGTGTGTGTGTGTGTGTGTGTGTGTGTGTGTGTGGACAGCATGTTTTCTGGGCCAGTTCTTACAGTTAGTTATGTCTACATTCATCTCCCTATTGCAGCATGAGCCTCCTGAGGGCAGGAACAGCTCTCATTTTTGTGTCTTGGCAGCACCTTTGCACATAGTCGTCACTTGAGGGATGTTTATTGAATATATTTGAACTGATCCCTTAACTCATTTCTCCCCAAACACTGTTTGTCCACACATAATGTCATCCTTAATGGAAAACTCATTATTTGCTTTGTATAACTATTCTACATACAGGACCCAAAGCGGGAAATTCAGAAGATTTTGAAGTTCTTGGAGAAAGAAATACCAGAGGAAATTCTGAATAAAATCATCTATCACACCTCCTTTGATGTAATGAAGCACAACCCAATGGCCAACTACACCACTTTGCCTATCGGCTTCCTGGACCACTCTATCTCCCCTTTTATGAGGAAAGGTACGTTAAGATTCATATTCTCAGATGCCAGATTGGACTCTGTGGTCCCCATGCTCTGCTTAGATTTTCCAGTAATGTTTCTTGCCCCATTATACATTCTTGTCAGTGACACTACATAATTTTTCAGAGGGAAACTTCCTTTTTTTTCCCCACTCTTATCCTGGTTCCAAGGGTGTGTGCTCACTCCACCCTGTACTCTTGTGTGGTAATCACTGAGACTTTGCTCCATTTCAGGCATGCCTGGGGACTGGAAGAGCCATTTCACTGTGACCCAGAATGAAGAATTTGACAAGGACTACCAGAAGAAGATGGCAGGGAGCACCCTGACCTTCCGCACAGAGATCTGAGGGCAACAGGGGAGCCCATCAGTCAAGGACCTCCTTCCTAGATTTTAGACACTTGAGCCTCATAATCAAGAATACTTAAACTTTAATCCTGAGCTTTCCTACACTCTCAGAAATTCTATGCCACTGTGATATACTTCATCCAAATGCAACCAAATCTTGGGTAGAAATTTAAAATTAAATTACATGATCATTCACATAGACACCCACCACATGATGGTGTGCTTATCTGCAAACCCATGATATAACCCAATCACTATCTCACAATAGCCTGGCTTCCTGGATGCAAAATTCATTAAAAGAGAGAAATAGAGAAGAGTAGAACTTCAACATAAGATAAAGTGAGTGAGAAGCAGAGAAGGAGAAGGTGAACACTATGGAGAATGTGAAAAGGGAACCAGGTTTTATCCTTAACCATCAACAATGAGACACAGAGGATGGCCCAGCTCTTGGAAGTATTAGGTTATGAGGTGCAGAAGGTAAAAAGAAGGGAAGCCAGTGAACTGTGCCTGACTCAGGAGGTCTCAAGCTGGACATGAAGAAAGGCCAGAAAGGAATGGGTGATAAGCAGCACAAGAAACAGAAACAGATGCAGTTCACTTTTGAGACCAACACAAGGCAGACAGGCAGAAAACAATATATATTTCAGATGGGCTTTTAGAGAGAAATGGAGGAAAAATCTTCAAGTTAGCCCCCCTCCCTCAAAGAAAATAAGATACCAGCACCACATGCACTTTAAGAAAATCTTGAGTATCACATCTCTGGAAGGATCATCTTTCATGCTTCTTAAAAAGAGGCTGTAAGCAAAATGGTCAATATAGATAAATTATTCAGCTACACATGTAATTATGTTCTGCCTCTTTTTTTCATTAAAACCTGTCTCAAGAAAGTGTCTAGCATCATTTACACAAGTAGTGTGACTATCAATGTATTATTTTAAAAGGATGTCAGGAAGGTACAGTTTGTGGGAGTACTGCATTCCTATGCCACTAAATCATAATATACAGAATATTATCAACTCTGTGCAGGAACAAAAGAAGCCCCATTTGCATTCTTTCATCGTCATACTTTCTAAGCATGAAAATCATTAACCACATGGCAAATAATCCAGTACAGTATTTGTGCAGTGCCAAGCTGCTCTGAGGAAATACATGGTGAAGTGAACCAGCATGATTGAATAGTAAATACATTTTTTATCAGTGAACACCCACACCACATTCCCAGCTCACATTCTAAGAGCTATCTAAAAATATAGACAGCAGACTACTAAAACTCCCTTTCTGTACACAGTATGACCTGGGCAAATAAAGGGAATATCTGTAATGCGTCTGGAGTTCACAAATTGGGAAAATGTGCAGCTATTCTTTTATGAATTGTAAGATTCTTTTTACTTTTATTATAAAAATAAATTCCATTCTTGTATTCTCCATCAGTTTCAGTTGCAGAGTATTCATGGATTTCTCTCTCACAACGTTCTGATATATGCTTTAAAACAATACTTGGAGTACTAACAAGAAGTAATGGCTTCATTCAATTTTAGTTAGTTAGCTACCTGGTTAGTTATTTTGAGAGGGGGGCAGGGAGGGCAGAGAGAGAGGGAGAGATAGAATCCGAAGCAGGCTCCATGCTGTCAGCAGAGCCCAAAGTGGGGCTCTATCTCATGAATCACATCTGAAATCAAGAGTCTGAGGCTTGACTGAGCCACTCAGGTGTCCCAGGCTTCATTCAATTTTAAGTCTTTAGTCCCAGCTCTATAAAATCATGATGATGGAGAAAGTGACTATCCACGTATCCAGGGCAATATAATATCTTTCTAATCACATATTACATATTTACACACACACACACACACACACACACACACACATTCCTCTATATACTGTGGTCGTGTAAGATGATATTGTAAATATTCATGGTTAAGGGATTTGGAGCCATGCAATTAGAAGGAGAGAAAAACAGAGTAATGGGAAATGGAACTGAGCTTGGAATCCTGAAACCAGAATAAGAAGTTGAGGAATCAGGTCACACTGCCCAAAGACTTCATTGGTGATGAGAGGACTAAGAATCAACAGGTGGGACCCAGCAGAGCTAAGTGAACTCATGCCCCTGCTCCCGGCCAGGCCCATTTTTTAGCACACTCCTGGAGCTGGAGCATATTGCCTGTACCTCCTCCAGGCTGTAATTCGGTTCATCTGGGCACTCAGAACACTGTCATCACAACCTGGGGTTCCGGGGATCCTTTCTGATTATCTAACAAATACCAAAACCTTCCTAACTGGCATGTTTAGAAAAAGAAAACCAAGGCTTAGTGGAAATATGGTTAGAAAGGCAGTTTTTCCCTAGTAGAACGCTGGGATCAGAGTGTCTTTGTCATGGAAAAGTCTGTGAGTGTGAGGTAGCCCTGAGCAGAAGCTCCCCTTTCCCAAAATAGTGTAGCCTTCTTGGTCCCTCCGTCCTTCCAAGCCATCTGTTGTCCCAGGCTCCTGGGCCCTTCTTTTGCTCTTTGGTATTCTATGGGCTTCCCATCCTAACATACCCAAGCCCATTGCCTACCCTTGGGGAAGAGGATCTCATTCCCCACCCTGCATCCACCAGTCTTCTGTCCCTTACCCATCTCACTCATAATAAACCTGTGTGGGGTTTGCTGGTAATGAAACTTCAAAACATCCATCTGTGTCAAACTTAGTCCACATAATCTGGAATATTCTGAATTCAAGTATGTGAAATGGTAATAACAAATGATGGAGAGGGGTACCTGGGTGGCTCAATCTGTTAAGTGTCTGACTCTTCATACCAGCTCAGGTCAGGACCTCATGGTTTATGAGTTCAAGCCCTGCACTGACAGTGTGGAGCCTCCTTGGGATTCTTTCTCTCACCCTCTCTCTCTGCCCTTCCTCTGTACTCTCTCTCTCCCTTTCTCAAAATAAATAAATAAACTTTAAAAAATGATGGAGAAAGGAAGGCAAGGCATGGGAATAAAAACTCTTAAATCTTTCTAGGTATCCACTCTTTTTCTTTCTTTCTTTTTTTTTTTTTTTTTTTTTTTTTTTTTTTTTTTTTTTTGGCTTGAAGAAATTAGAGTTTATACTAGTGAAATCTGATGACCAGCTTTCTTCTGAGTTTACTTTTCAGTGCCAAACCATCCACCCTCCTTCATCATCACTGCCCTGCCCTTCTCTCTCCCTACTCTGTTGTTGGTCTAGGGGTCACAAGGGCTGGAAAACTATGGCTCCTGGGCCAAATTCATTTCATTTGGTATGCATGGGAGCTAAGAGGATTTTTCTATTTTAAAAAGGTTGTTGCAAAAACACCAGAAACAAAGAAGAAGGGATCCTTAAAGCCTGAAATATCATCTACTATCCTGTCTCAGACCTGAGTTTCTGGATCTGCTTTATCTGGGCCAGGACTTGGTGTGAATGAGTCTAGAGGCATCCTGAAGGTCCATATTTGTGAAGACTCAGATCCCACATTTGGAATGCAAGAGCAGAAGTCCTGGATGGGATCAAACTGAAGCCCCATAAATCTAGATCTTGCCAGAGCTTCTCCCTCTGCTTCCCAAAGAACAGTGTGGGCACCTCCAGCAACAAAAGTATGAGTACCTAGGAGAGGCCTGCCTCCTTCTGAGGCTTGTGGGGGCAGTACTTCCAGCCAAGTAGGCCCAGACAGGGCCCAGGGCAGCAGAGATGCCCAGCTCCTAAGGTGGGGTCTGCCCCACCACCCTCATCTGGATGCAACTCTGAGAAGCAGCACACATATTTTGGGTTCTAGGAGCAAGCAGGTGAGCATATCCAGGACCCATGGTGGGTGTGGACCAGGCTAGCAGGGATTATAAAGTAAGTACAGGGTGTGGCTATCATGCAGTAGTGGGAACAAGGTCCCCAGCCAGGAGAAGATGAGGACCAGGAAGGGCTGCAAGTGGCTAATGGACATCTCTCTGTGTATTAGGTCACCCCGGTGAACCCCTGTATTGCCAAGGTCTGTGGGTAATCAGTCTCCCAGGAGCAGTCATTGGTGGAGTCAGGCTCAAGTCTAAAGTTTGGCAGGAAAAGCAGGACTGAATGGCTAGGGCTTGGTCCACACTATGCTTAAAATTCCACAGTCCATCATAGCCTTAACCAGAAGACCACTGACTGCCTCCCTGAGTTCCCGGGAGCTGGAGAACATCCCCGACCACTACCAGGATCAGCAATGTGGAGTAGGGAACTGTCGGGGTATGCAGAGAGGCAGGCCAAGCAAGCTTCCTACATGAGGCTCTTTTTACAGAGTTGGCTGTGACACCCAAATATAAGCTCAGCTATCCTTGCCAGCACCATGTGCTCTGAACACAGAACACTAGCACAGAGCATGTCCCAGCTCTGCCCCCTCAGGTCCTAGGGAGATGGGATTTGGTGGAATGGCAGGTCACTACCCTGCTTCTAGAAGCAGCAGGAAGCTGCAATTGGCCACAGGTTGCCCCCAAAGCAGAGAGTTCTCAGGGCTCTCCAGAAGCCCGTGGCATCCCCTGTTTGCGATTGGTTTCCAGAAACAGACCTTGGAATGAAGATTCCAAGTAACTTATTTTATTTTATTGTTTTTTAATGTTTATTTATTTTCGAGAAAGAGAGGGAGAGAGACACAGTGTGAGTAGGGGAGGGGCAGAAAGAAAGGGAGGCACAGAATCCAAAGCAGGCTCCAGACTCTGAGCTGTGAGCACAG